GTCCTTCTCACAGTGCTTACCTGCTGCATGAGCAGTTCATGCTTCCTGATGTTTTCTGACCTCTTCCTCTAATGAGAGAACATGACATGATTTTTCAGCATTCTAAAGATTGCCTAATCTTTAGATTGCCTAATCTTTAGATAAAATAAATAGATCACCAGCATTCTTGAATCCTATATTTGACTCTGATATAACCTGTTTCACTACCTACATCTGTATTAATAGTTCCAATCTAAATTGTCCTCTTTATGTGTAATAATTTTGTGATGACTAAATAGGATACATTTTAATACAAATATACAGTTTGGTAAGTACTGACATAAATCTTACTGTGGTCATGTAAGGTAATGGAGAAGTACCCATAAATTCCTAGAGTTTTCTGTAAATTCTCCTTTCTGCACTTCCTTTATTCCAACATTTCCTTCAATGAAACAGTTACTCCTGCATGAGATATTTCCTTCTCATGGTGGCAAAATTACCTGATTAAGTTTTCATTATAGAGCTGATCATGATAATGCACATTCCAAAGCATACAAGTTTTCAGATTTAGTCTGCTTTCTAGTACATGCAAGTTGGGATAATCCTTACACTGAAATGAATATGAAGGAGGAAAAGAAATAAATGTTTTAGCACATATGTGTGTATTCTAACTAAACACCAACCACAACACTCACACACCTTCGAGCTTGGCTCCCTTCAAGTGACCTGCAATAGACGTATCTCAGGACCTCCTCACTGTTGACAATGCTAAGAGATAGAGGAAAGTTCGGACAATGACAGCCAGAAACCTCATTCCCCAGCTTCATTCTCTACACTTTTCCGGGGCCTCAAGCTGGTTTCCTGAGGATCCTTAGTACTCCCTATGCTGGTGTAAAGATTTCCCTACTGCTCTTGCAAATCCTCCGTTGTCCTGATCACACTCTGCTAGTCCTGAGCACCCCTCTGGTTCTGAGCACCCCCGCTGGTCTGGAGCACCCCAGAGAGTTTAGTGCTTGGGCTTACACTGATATATCCTCTTTGCATCTCTTGCATGGTAAAGCACAGTTGTGTCCTCCATGGTTTCTGAGCCAAGCTGCAGGGAAATGTAGTTTGGATGCATCTCAGGAGATGCTGATTTGACTGTCAGGTATGAATTATCAGCTGTGTCTCCACTAAAAATTCTTGTGCCATCCATTCAATCTCCTTTCCTGGGTGCTGGTGGATTCAGCTTCCAGAGAAATATTATTAGGTGAATATGTTGAAATTCTAAAGGAAAACACAAATATAACAGCATAAGTAAGTTAGCATAAGTTCAGCCATGAAGATGAATAAAGGGGTAAAAGTGCTAATAATGCATCACGAGATGTGCATGTATCAACTCATCATTATGTACCACAAACACGTACTTGTAAAAATTTTCAAAGTAAAAAAATGAATGAAAGAACCAATCTGAATTTGGAGAAATGAAAACAATAGAAATGACACAATCTTGTCAACCAGATTATAGTCAGCTTTCACACAGCTGTCACAAGGAGTAATTTAAATGTCCATAGATGATACCTGAGGATTAGTTTAAGTAGGAAGACAATAAAATGGGCATTATTTTTGGAATAATGTTGGTGTACAATAGGAGTCAGTGAACTCCAAAAGGGGAAGAGATGGGGACAGATGAGAAGAACGAAGGCCCTGGCATCTGGAGCATGAGAACAGATGCCGTGAACACGAGAGAGTGAGAAGTCCGCAGCTCACGCTGGTCTCCAAACAGTGCAGGTCATGCTGATGAATATGTGGCAGCAGACACGAGGGAACCGTGGAGCCAAGGGATGAACTATTGGCTCTTGGTGCGAAGTGAACATTCGTATTTATATTTTTTTTTACAAATTGCTAATGAAATTTAAGGAAATGTGTGTAACATCAAGTTTATAATTTCTCTTTCCAAGTATCATGTTTTTGACTCTCCTGAGCCCCTCATTCTTGCCTCAGACAGTTTCAGTAGAAAAAACTCCATTAACAAAATCTGAAGTTAACTTGCACACTCTGTCAGACCCTCCATCATGGTGACACAATGCTTATTATTTCACAAATCATGTTATTCAGATGTGTTTGATTATATTTTTCTTTAAATTACAAAAAAAAATGCTGGTATCTGTATTTCAGTAAATCTAGATGAGTGTTTAACTGCTCACAGTCCTTAGGAAACAGTATCTGAGAAAACCTATGTGAAGAGGAAAGATTTATGGTGGTTCACAGTTTCTGAGGTTCAGTCCATGTCCACCTGTCTCCATAGCTTTGGGCCTGTGGTGAGGCAGAACACAAGGAAGTGGAGCATGCGGCAAACCACAGTTACATGACAGAGAAGGAAGAGGAGGAAGTGGAAGAAGGGGAGGGTGAGAGAGAGAGAGAGGCTGAGGATAAGACATAATCCACAAGACCACATCCTCATGACCACTTTCTCAGAGGAGGGCTGGACTTCCAATAGCCCACTCAGCTAAGACCACATCAATGGGTGAACTCTTTGAAGACTTTGCTGCTCACATGATCTAATCACCTCTCTAGGCCGCATATCTGAATGTTGCTGCACGGGAGTCAAGGCTTCCATACATGAGCATTAGGAGACATTTCAGGTCTAAAATATAACAGCATGATTTCTGAAGCCTGGACTTGTCAGTTTCATATCCTGCAGTCCAATCTTTACTGGACTGTGTTGCCGTGACTTGTACTCTGTTGCTAGCTGGGATATGGGCACAGGCTGCATTCTATCAGTATCCCGTGACAGCCCAGCTACCAGGCAACTGTCATGAGGAAATTTATATGTAGAAAATATCATCTCTCCTGCATGAACAACTAAGAAGGTCAAGTTATATAGAGTGTAAAATGTAACAGGAAGATGGGGCCTCAAGCTCTAGGGAGGAGAGAATTCCCCAGAGGCTGACAGGAAGGGCGCACTCTCCACACATCCTGATCTGCAGATGGGGAGGGAACTGAGCTGAGATCTTGTACAGGAGGATCCTGAGGCTGAGTCTCTGTGCTCTTCTTGCACAGTAATATGTGGCTGTGTCTGCAGGGACCGCACTGGTCGTTGTGAGGATCACTTGGTTCTTGGAGGTGTCCTTGGAGATGGAGAGCAGGCTCTTCAGGGCAGGGCTGTAGTATTTATCATCATCCCACCAAATGTGTGCCAGCCACTCCAGGCCTTTTCCTGGGGGCTGACGGATCCAGCCTACACCTGTATAAGTCGTGCTCAGTGAGAAGCCAGAGAAGGAGCAGGTCAGCCTGAGGGTCTGGGTGGGGGTCACCAGTCCGGGGCCAGACTCCTTCAGGGTGATTTGGGACACGACCCCTGTGGAAAAACACAAAAGAATTTGAAATTGGTTCAAGTGAGGACAGGAGCCTTTGCATCCCTGAGTCACTGACCCAGCCACTCACAATCAGGGACGGTCAGCAGCAGAAGAAGGGAACAAAGCCTGTCCATGGTGACACAGGTGTCCTGACCCAGGCCCTGCTGGGCTTTTCAACCCAAGAGGGGAGGAGCTGGAAGAGATTTGCATTCCCTCCTCAGGTCCTGACCCTGATGGGAGGACTCAGGGTTCAGAGCACAGAGGGCGCAAGGCTGTGACGGGCAGCACCTGGCCCCTCAGGTGTGACTTCCACATCTGCTCCCCATGGGGGATCCCGGCCACGCAGGACCAGGCTGTCAGACACAAAGCCTCAGGTGATGCCTTTGGTTGGAGGAAGTCAAGCCTGAGAGCCCCCATTGCTATACACAGGGTCTTCCCCTTATCTCCTATTCTGGAGAATGAGACCAGGACAGATGGTGACCCTTCTACAAGAGCACTGTGTGCCTGGGGATATTCTTGCATGTTAGGTCCTGTCCACTCTATGACAGACAGAAGGGGAAGTAGGTTAGCATAAGAGAGGGACACTAGAGTGGCACTTTTTCACTTCGTATTTGGACAGGTGCCTGCTCCTCAGTGTGTCTCCACATGTGTGTCAGGCCTCAAGCACCGTTCACAGACAGCCCACCTTGTCCTCATGCCCAGTCAATCCTGAGGAGACAGAAGGCTCCACATCTAACTTCACTCTGCTCCTCCCAGGGTGGAGTTCAGGCTTTTAGTAGTGAACTGGCCTCCGGGGCAGAGCTGGCTGACAGCAAGCTCCCTCACGGCCTTGCTGTGCTCCTACACTGGCCCAGCTCCCAGGATGCAGGTCTCGGAGACTTCCTCCAAGAAGTTTCATCAGATAAGCATCCAAGTTTATTATTTACAGTATCTACAACTGGTAACGCTGTGCAGCTGTGTTTCTGCTATTGACATCTTCTACACACTGCTCTTTGTTCTGAGGGTCTTCTCTGCCAAAGCCCAAACCATGAAGACCAGAGATATCAGATTATAGCATGTGCTGACTATCTCAAATGTAGACAGGAACATGTGAGAAGCAGAGGAAGGGCAGAGCAGGCCACTCACGGTCATGAGCAGTAACCCTGCGTGTCTTCATCCCTGCCTCAGAAACGCTGAGCTGTGACTGAAGCTCCTCACTCTTGAATCTATTTATTTTTGAGGAATTCAGAAAGTGTGATTCTGGCCTAAATTTGACCAACATAAGATTAAATCTATGCCACACAAATCAGATCATTCAGTTGAACAGAAAGAATTTTCTTTCTGAAAACTGATTTCATTTCAGCAAGTTACATAAATAAAATTGGTGTACTTGCATAATTAAATATTCTTTCTCATCCAGAAATGAGAGGTGATCAATGTCCCCAAGCTTTGCCATCCCCACGAGGTCTACTGTCCCACACACATCTGTGCACAGAGGAGAAAATTATCCCCATCATCCTGAGAGGCAGACAGGGACTCCAAAGACTAGAAGGAATTTTCCATGGAGCCAGACAAAGTGGCAAACACTTGTAATCTCTGAAGTCTGAGAGTCTGAGGCAAATTCATCACAAGTTTCATTCACCTCTGGCAATGAGTGACACAGCAAGATCCTGCCTACCATTAAAGGGGGCCGGGGGTGCACTATACATCAGGGTGTAAGCCCTGGCTTCAATCTCCAGTACCAAAAACAGTTATTTTCCATGGAGTCTGTAAATGATAATTCTCTCAGTACAGAAAAATAAGTTTGAATTTTGTCAGCTTGAAACCCTGCAAGCATCGATGTGTGTTAACATTTAGTTTTAGATGATAAAATCTGAGCAGATGTATGGAACTATCCAGATTTCAAGGGGCTGGGGATTTAGCTCAGCGGCAAAAGCGCCTGCCTGGCAAGCGCAAGGTCGTGAGTTCGGTTCCCGGTACCGGAGAAACAAACAAACAAACAAAAAAACCAGATTTCATTATCTATAAATGACTGCTGCTCTAACCAAAACCTGAAAATATGAATACAGCTGTGGATTTGTCTAAGCTTCAGCGTCTATGGCTGCATTTTCAGGTGTCTGACAGAAAAAATTACAGATTTCGTTATATGCAGGTTTGATATGGATGAGTATTAAATGCCCTTCTAGTAAGGCACAGAAGAAAGTTAGAAAATTATTGCACTCTGTTGGGAAATGAATTCTCCTTAGAGAGTTCAAGAAACCCCAATGAATTGCGTGCTGTTCTTTCATAAATTGCAGATACTTTTAATAATAAACTTGGATGTTTATCTGATGAAACTTCTACATCTCAGTCTTTATGCTGTGTCCTGATTTCTTTTTCCTGGGTAGTCAGTCTTACTGAAATTCAGGCTTCTAATGGGTCCAATAAAAAATGATGATTTTTGGTTTTTACAGGATTTCATAGTTTGGGGGACGTTGGTAATGATTTTATTAGTTTCTTATGAGCTTGGAACAGGAACAACAGGTAACTTCAGAGACCAACTTTAACCTACTCATAGAGTGAAGGATCTGATCTAACCCAGTTGAAAATACATCTTGACATTCATCCTTGTACCAGAAAAGACAGAGAACAGGGGCACAGCAGGAGTCACATAGGTAATTAGGAGAGATTTCCGGGGTCTCTCGGGAAGCAGGAATTCAGAAGGGCAACAGCTGGCTACATCCTAGGTGACTGAGGTGTCCCCACCCTGGCTGGATGCTGCAGGTTTGCCTGTGACAGCACACCAGGGACCAGGAACATCTCAATCCTTAAATACTGGGCAGCTCAGTGATTATTTTGGTTCCAAGTGAGGAGCAGAGCAGGGTGAACAGACAGAGGATGCCCTGGGTGCCAAGATGAGCTGGATGTGAGGTCCAGCTCTGAGAAATTAATTTCCCTCTGCTCTACTTTTTGGAGGTGGGACTTCCAGTGAGAGAGCGTCACCTCCACGCTGCTCTCGGGGCCAAGTGCGTGAGGAACCAGGACTATGAGTCCTTTCCCTCTGCTCAGTGCACAGCTGCTACACAAGAAGCTTTGACCAGAAGAAGGAAATAAAGAGAAGTAACATTTCATTTTACGGAAAAGCATGCAGGGATAAGTGATTGACAATTACAGAAAGTAATGAAATAAAATAAATGATGACAACTCTTTAGAAAAGAAAAATGAATATTGTGAATCTATAATATTTAATATTAGATACACATTTTCTAAAATGAAACTAGTAAAGGGTTGAGGATATAGCTCAGGGGCACAAGTGCCTGCCTGGCAAGCACAAGGTCCTGAGCTTGATTCCCAGTATTTAAAAAAATTAAACTAGTAAATCCATGAAAACTTCTCTGTGTGCATGTGTGTGTGTGTGTGAGAGAGAGACAGAGAGAGACAGAGACAGAGACAGAGAGAGACAGAGACAGAGAGAGACAGAGAGCCCTGCATATAATAGAAATAAAAATAATCATTAAGTCCCATTGTGAGTGTTCACGTCTTCATCCTGCACAGTCCCTTTGGACAGAGAGCATAGCGAGGACCCTGGAGCCTTAAGCCCACGGTGGCTGCCCTTCTTCCCTCCTCTTCTGAATGCAGGGTTCCAGGCTGTGCTTGGCTGAGCCTGGGGACCAGGTCTCCTGAGGTGGCCCAGCAGAGGAGAGAGCTGTGTCTTCTCAAACCCTATGCATATGAATAGGAAGGACTTAATTTCTCAGTCAGAAACTCATTCCTGCGTCAGACAGTGGCCCTTCCTGGTAATAAAGGTAGCAAATTTATTTTTATTATACTTGGTTTTGTTATTAGTATTATTTTTGTGTTTTAGACAGGGTCTCACTGTGTATTCCAGGCTGGCACTAAACTCATTGTGTAAAATTGGCTGATCTTGGGCTCATGGTGATTCTCCTGCATCACCCTCCTGAGAGCTGGCATTAGGAGGTGTACATCACACCCCATTAAATTTATTTTTAAATTATGATGACTTGACGTTGTAAAGATACCTCAGTTCTCAAAATTTCGAGTCTACTTTTGGGGGATAAGCGGTGTGCTTGGCTTTCAAAAAATTGAAATGAGAGAGACGAGGAAATAAATGACTATGTAAACACACATATGAGTGAAAGTTCACAAAAACATCTTTTATTTTCTTTGGAAGTGGATAGTTCATAAGGCAACTGTAGTAGACAGGTGTAGTCCAGGGTCTCTGCAGGTCATATGATACTAAGACACAGAGGAAAAGGACCACAGGAAGCCTTCACACCCCAGCTTCCTTCTCTACAGTGTCTGCTGGAATCCTTGCTGGTGCTCCGTGGATCCTCAGCGCCCCCTGCTGTCCATAGAAGCCCTGCATGGAAGTTTTTCTCTGGGCTCACCCTGACTGATGTCCCCTCACTGGATCTCTTGTACTGTAATACAGGGCTGTGTCCTCAAACGTCACCGAATTCAGCTGGAGGAAGAACTGGTGCTTAGACGTGTCTCTGGAGATGCTGAGTAGGTTTTTCAGGGAGGGACTTGAAGCTGTGTTTCCACTTTTACCAGCTGGCGCCATCCATTCCACTCCTTTCCCTGTAGACAGACTGACACAGCTCCAGTTGTAAGGGATAGTGATGGAGTAACCAGAGACAAAACGGGTCAGGGACAGGGATTCAGTATGCCAGGCCCTGATTCTGCATCTGGGAAAGTCACCTGGGAGATAGAACGCAGTGAGTACCGGGTCAGATGCAGCTTTCCCCACTCTTCCCGTCTGAGTCCTGGAACACTCGCCTCTGGGAACCACCACCCAAAGTGGAGGAAGCAAGACTGCTCCACTTGCTGGCAGGTTAGCTGTATAAATCCCACCACAGTCTTCCAGATAACAAGTTCCTGAATGTAAGCGAAGGTTGACTTCGATGTAATCCAGATGCCTAGTTGGGTATTTTCAGGTAAGATGCTCGCTTATATAGAAAAGCATAAAAGGAAGAGGGTGGTGTCCCTTTGCTGCACTGATGGACATGCTGCTCATTTGTGGATGCTGGCCGTGCCCTCACTGAGCTCAGTGCCCCCTCTCTGAGGTCCTCTGCACCAGGCCTAGTGCCCTCTTACTCCCAGACAAGACATGCAGCGGACAGTCTTTCATGCAGCTCAACATATTCAGAGATGAGTAAAAGCTTTTTGGCTAAACTAACCGCATCTCAGCTCCCGGGGTTAGTGGGACAGTACAAGTTTAGCATGGGACATTTCTTATGTACAGATAGATGCAGTCCCACAACGTGATAGACACTACAGATAATACAGATACGTGCATATTGGTCTAAATATGCATGGATTCTAACTCAGATCTATTTCCACATTCATAACCTCACTTACAATAAAAATATTGTAGGTGCCGTTCAGTGTTCCAGTCCCACTTAGTTCAGAGTAAACTGACCCTGACACAAACTTTATCCTGAGTTAGAAAGGCTTGAGTGACTCATGTGCCTGGGACTTATACTTGTCTGAGTGAAGTGCATGCAACACCACTGATTTCAAGGGTCTCCATGGAGGGGACCTATGTTCACTCTAACAAGCATGTGCTTTGGTTGCAGCGGGGTGTAGATATTTTTTCCCATGTGATGTCAGTCCCCAGCCTTGCTGAAGTAGAACTCAGCAACACGGTCCTGGTTTCCCCATAGAAACCTGAGTGTTTGCAAGAACACCTTAGACCTGTAGATCCCATCTTGCTGGACAAAACTAAGGCGTGTCAGTTCTTCGGAACAGGACAAAGACAGCTGAAAAAAAAAGAACTCTGCTCAGTGATCTGGTGGCTAGTTTCTGATCTTCAAGATCTCACTTGAATATCTCTGAAATGCAGAATGTCTCATTTCTTGCCACCACTGGAAGATTTTTGGTTCAATGAAGTATTTTCTCCCCCGGATGGAGCAAGAAACTTCACTGCCTGGCAATCAACCCACACACTAAATGGCTTGCAGAAAGAGAAAACCTTGCTATGGATGAAGTGATTATTCATATCTTAGAAAGTCACTCCTTGAAAAATCCCCCTCACAGCTTCCATTCTCAGGTGTGGGACTGCCTGAGAGCTCAGGAGTAGGTGGTGGTGAAGATCAGAGCCCAGCTCCAGGCCTCCTCAGTGTGAGAGTCCAACAATGTGAACTCCACTATCTGCCCTCAGGTCTGACAAGTCATAAGTTAGGGAGTGCGGTAGTAACAACAAATAATTTGTTCTATTAACCTGTCATAATTGTACATATTAAGAGAGTTTGTTGTGATATTTCATCACAGGCATACAATGTGCACTAATCAAATTGGGTAATCAGCATTCCATGTCCTTATCATCTCCCCGCACTGGGAGACAGCAAGTTCCTCGCATTCAGATAGCTCCAAAACGTAATAGGTAACACTAAATGTGAACTATACAGCAGAGGACCCTTGATGTGCCCACTGTGCATCATTTATGCATGAGTTAAAACTTTATTCTTAAAAATAAGATTAAATTCACAGATGGATGGATGGATGGATGTGTGGATGGATGGATAGATGGGTGGGTGAAAAGACAAGAAAATAGTTACATGGAAACATAGGGTAAGATAATTGCTGTTTGCCTGCAGGATCCTGACTCACACATTGTCATTCATTTATTTATTCATTTGTCATTTCCAACTCTGTGGATTCATGGATATTTACTTCACAGTTGGAAATGGAATCCAAAGCCCTCTTATATATTTCACTGCGGCAGTTATTCCAGCTTTGTCCTTCTGAGTGTAGGGGACAGCGACTCTTAGCATATCATTCTTAAATTAGAGTAGTCTTAGTTTTAGTCTTAGTACAAGCTTCAAAATGTGTCTTGAGAAACATCCCAGAGGGGTTGTAAAAAGTTAACTTTGCAGTCAACTTTGCCCTGGAATGCTTCTCCAAAGACAAAGAACACCCGGGCCCAGATAACCACTTATGACTCTGCCTGGGTTGTTTCCTCACTTCCCTGGCCCTAGATAAACACTGTAACCATAAAGGAAATGTATGGTTATCTAAAGGGGGACATGCAGAACAGAGTG